CACACATATATATATATACAATATATATATACACACATATATATATATATATATATATATATTTATTATATATATAAATTTATATATATATATATATATATATATATATATATGTGTGTGTGTGTGTATGATGGTAGCAAAATGTGTGACAGACATTAAAAATAACTGAGAAAGTCGACAGTTTTTCATTGTATTTTTTAAATTAAACAAACTGATTATTTCAGTTCTTTTCTTTTTAATCCGACTTTTTGGGATGAATATTTGATGTCGAAATATATATATATATATATATATATATATATATATATATATAGGTAGTTACCTACATTAGGTCAAGTAAAAAACATCATAGCGTGATGAAAAAAGGCCCCAAACTCAATAAAAACAAAGATTTGTCATCAAAATGTTTACGTTATTATTTAGAGAAAAGACCAAGGTATTTTTGTTATTATTTTTTTAAATTTGTTTACTCCATTCTAGCATTCTAGTTTAAAATTTATTTTTGAATATTTTTCTTTTTTTTTTTTTTTTTTTTTTTTTTTTTTTTTTTTTCATATGTTACCACTCACATACATAATTTAATGAAATTTGGAGAAATTAAATTTTTGAGGGGATTTTTTATTACTTAAAAACAGGACTCTTTGGAGTAAGTAAATCATTTTTTTTTGTAAAACAGTTACCCGTTTTATTGAAAATCTGCTGTGAATAGTAAAATAAACAATGCAATAAAATTATGACATTATTTAATTAGAAAAGCTTTTAATTGCTTTTGTAAAGAAGTTATATTAAGGATACTGTTGTCTGAAGAAATAAAAAAATTTTGATGATTAATGAATTTTTACAAGAATATTTTTCATTCTTTTTAAACGTTTAATTATAATAATATAATAGTTCAAAAATCGTTTAAAATTCTTCATTGCTTTCAAGAATGCAATTTGTGATATCATTAAGTGAAAAGTAAATTTACGAATCGAAATGTGAAAAGCTCATAAGTCATTTGAACCCCAATATTTTAAAAATATTTTTTAATGAAAAAACATTCCTAATTTTTACCTATGGGAACCTATAGATGACATAATTCTAAAAAAAGATCAAGTGATTTAAGTGTTTGTCTGACGCACTGCAACTTTTAATTCTGTTCTGTTTCATCATTAACGTCTTTGCAAATCATCCCTTCAAAATATCAAAAACAGATTTACATTTCTTAACTGCTATTTCACTAAATATTTTTTATTTTATGTACTTATTTTAGTTTCATCATTCAATTAATTAATTTTTTGTTCAAGGTAGTAAACTTAAGAACCTAGAAACGAAATGCAAATTTCATAAAGCTTCTTAAAATTTAACTAAATGTCAATAAAATATTAAATAATTGCTGCAATATGTTAATTTGTAAAAATTACTAGGTAGTTAAAAACTGAAGAAATGCGCTCACTTAATTTTCATAAATATGTCATTTCTGGACATCCATAAGAGCTGTGATCGCCTTAAGACATTCTCCATGAATCAATAAAAATCAAAGAAAGAGGAATCCATCGTTAAGAAATTTTTTATGCTATAAGTAATATTTATTTCAAATCAGATTAATTTAACTTTAGATTTTCTAATTTTACTCAAATAACATGTCACAAATCTATAATTTAGTTTTTAAGGAATTTAAAACCCGATAAATTTGTTTGTTTACAGATTTCTTAAAAATTAAGAAAATGGCCGCTTTTACGAAAATTTTTTAAAAATCGAGCAATTATTTGTCATTCCAATCTATATAATTTCTATGTGAAATACATCAGAATATTTTACTTACTTGAAATAATAAATTTAATCATTTAGCTTTCAATTAAAACTAGAATTAAATCTTCAAGAATGCTTTTTCATTTCTAAAATTTAATTTTAAAACATATATATCGAAAATTCAGTGGAGGTACTTATATAAAGGATTAATGCAAATCTCAAGAGTTGTCAATTAGTTGATTGATATTATTTTCAGGTTCTCGACTCTAGATTTTCGTAGACAAACCTTCTAACAAGCGCTCCCTCAAAACGTCAGCAGATACTAATAATTGGTTGTTTATGTTCTCATTTTTTAGTTTATATTGAGTTAAAAATAATTTATGCACTTTTCATTGGTGTAATTTTGATTTTGTTTTTCTCTTTTGTATGTATGTACTTATATATAAACATTATGAGAACCTATATTTCCAAAATTAAACCGACTGATTGTATTTAAAGAATAGAGAAAATTCATCAGTTTCAAAGACGGCATTCAATCGGCCATGATGGGATTTATAAAATACGCATGACCTAGCAAAGAAAGAATCATGAAAACAATTCGTAACAATAGAACAAACGGCTGAATTGGCAAGAAAGGCAACAAAAGTAGAAAATTCAACAAGGGAGGAAAATGGGCAGAGAAAACATTCGACAGTGGACTTAAGAGAGAAAATTTTGCAGATGAAATATGATGGACTCGGTTTAGAAGCAACGCGTCTTACGGTTGTAATCCAGAATATATGCATTAGGGTTGAGTATGGCAAAACAAAAATAGACACAATTTCTGTGTTTATAGATAAAAGGAGTCTGGAAATTATATCAGCATTAAATGCAGAAATCTAACTAAAATGTCAGATGTAGCTGTAACTATGCCCCAACACCACATGATGAAGATGAGAAAGGGATCATTAGAGGCATGATTAAAGGAACCTGTATTTCAAGAAAAACTTGGGGGTTTCTAGACGGACTATTGTCTCCGTAAGTATTTAAGATGATAGAAATTTGAGATTTGTTGTTACTAAACCTTCGGTAGCAACTACCTGACATCTGATGTTAACAAAAAATGCTGGAAGAAATTTATCATTATTATTATCATCGTCATTATGATTGTCATTATTATTGTTGTTATTATTATTATTGAGTGAAAGTACGGTAGGCCAACAAAGTACAAATATACGAAGCTCATTACCCCCATCATGACACCCAGTCTAATAAGCTTGTACAGACACATGCATCACACCCAAACCTGCATATTTGATAAAGCAGCACATAGTCTTGTAGGTGGTTCCTAGTTACAAATACCTTCATATCGGCTACCCACTTCACTTAAACAATCTTCGATTGAGGATGTCCCCGTTCATTTAAATGTGACCTCCAATTCACCTTAGTTACCTCGTCCTTTAAATTTAAATAGAACAACCTTCTTGACAATTGGTCATGATGCGCATGCCCACTTGGTTACATTTACTCAACTGAGCGCAGATATGTGGTACTGAACAGTATATATACTGCAGCCAATCTTAATTCACCAAGATAAATCATATATATATTAACACCTGTAATCAATTAAGATTAGAAACTACGAGAGCCACGTCTGTTTATTATGTTTTGATTTTGCTTTGTTAGTACCAATTGTCCTTCCTTCCTTGTTCTCAAGTTTCAACCGGAAATTTTAAGAGATAACAAGTTTTTTTTGTTTGTTTTTTTGTTTGTTTGTTTGTTTGTTTGTTTGTTTGTTTTTGTGGCGGGGTTGCACCAGAAGATACAAGTTGAGTGCTATGCAATCAGAAAAATATGTATTTGCGGGCATTGGATGATTTTTACTGTAACACTCTATTGTGAAGAAATTATTTGTAGTGATGGTTACTTCATATCTGGTGTTGTTGACTTTTTCTCAGAAAGCATGAACAGTGTTCTTTGTAAAACCAGATGTCAGTTTTCTTGAAAAGAAACACTACAGTTAATTAATAAGAGGAATTGAAATAAATACATGCAAGATTTCACAGCTTTGGCATCACTCCTTTATATTCAGCCTATGAACTTTTCAGCCTAATCTCATACCTGGAAAGAAATAACGCAGTTAAATTAATAAAAGTAGCTGAAATGAATGCATAAAAGATTTCACAACTCTGGCCTCACTCCTTCATAGTCAGCCTATGAACTGTTCAACCTAATCTCATACCTGGAAAGAAATTGCGCAGTTAAATTAATAAGAGCAGTTGAAATAAATGCAGGCAAGATTTCACAGCTCTGGCATCATTCCTTTATAGTCAGCCTCTGAACTTTTCAGCCTTCTCTCGTACGTTTTCTTTCCATACATAGATATATCCTTTTTTTTCTAGTTATATATCCTATGAAGTGCTCATTCCCTCTTTATATGTCTATCTTACGATGAACTTTGAGAGATCTGATTAAAGAAACATTATAATTAGGCCGCAACACGTAGATGTAAATTCTAAAGTTTTCCATTTGCCTCGTTTGTAAAAAAAAAAAAACTTTTCCCCATGAAATGTTGGTGGTGACTGGCGGCTCGTATCCTTGTATGCCGTTATTTACTAGGGCGGCTAGCCAATCCCTGTTGCAGACGTCTCCTCAGGCACATTTGTGTTTTTTCAGCACCCATAGAGCCCACCTGTGGTTTATACTGCGATTATGCTGAATGGACTTTAGTTACAATTTCTGGGAAAGATTGCATTATCTGGTATGTTCAACATTCTGAACAAAGCCAGTAGGCTTCAAACCTCGGTCACAATGACTTGTGACTTTATGCTAGCACAGCCATCGACCAATCCCAGATAGTTTCGTCTTCCAAATTTCAGTCTCAAGGTTTAGGTCAACCCGCGAAATAACAGCTGATGTTACTACTGGGAGAATGCAATGAGCTCATGCAAAGAAAACTATAAAACACACACTGGAATCAAACGCAACTAGATAGCCGTAAAACTTTTCAAATGTAAACCGATGATAGCCTTGACGCTTATAGACGATTTTTTTGTAAAACTTTGTCTAGAAGAATCCAATGTATTACAATTATTACTGACAATAACTTCGAACGTTAAATGCGCTTGCCTCCGGAAAATAGGGAATGGTGGGAAGGGGAAAGGAAAGAGTCGTCAAATTCAAACACCTCGTGCCCCAAGGACATGGAAACATCAACAGCCAGTGTTTATGACATTCTATACTGTTATTCATCCTAGGGGGATGTTTTTGCTCTTCAGCGTTGTTGGCAGATGTGGGTAGGAGACTCCGACTCGTTCTGTACCGTGATTCTATAGTTGCTGGATCGAAAGCACTCAAATCATTTACACGACTTAATGACGGAGAAAACCTAATCAAACATAAGTTAGCTTTATTAGAGAAGCACGTTCAAGCATCATTCACCGCGACGGAAGGTGGTAGTGGCAAGAAATAAGATCGCGAGTGTGCGTAAGTGAAGAGATTAGTGTGTGCGTGTGTGAAATATCTTTTCTACACAACCGCAGTTACAGCCGACGGGCAGAAAATGTTTCGGTGCCTCTTGAACTGTTTTCTAGAACCTTCCACCAGTTCTTACACACCCCGACTTTCGAGTCTGTCTCCTCCCCAACACTTCGTTTTCTGTCGACCGTCATTGACGGTTTTGAAAGCAATCTTCCGACATTGATAGTGACTGGCAGCGCCAGCTCGCTCACCAAATCTCGTTGTTTCTCGTTCTTCCCTGGCTTTTAGTTTTGCTTTCATTTTCTTTTTCTTTTTTCTTTTTTTTTAACTTTCTTTTGCTTAGTGCATTTTCATTTCTTTCTTATTTATTATTCTTTCATTTTCACCTTCATTTTTACATTTTAGATTTTTATTCCCGTTTACCTTCATTTCCTGTATCTGCTTAATTATTTCCCCATAAAATATTCTTCTCATTTATTTCATTCACTTAAATAGATTAGTTATATTTTTCTTTCTTTTTCTTCACTATCTTCTTTTTGTCTATTACTCTTCATTTTTTTTTTATTCGTCCATTATTTTTTTTATATTTTTCTTACATTCATCTATCTATTTAATACTTTTCCTTTCGATCTTTTTTTTTCCATTTACAACTTTTTTCTCTTCTTTTATTCAACCTTCCACTATTACTTCCCTTTGTTCTTTTTCTTTTACGTCACTTATCTCTGTTTCTTTTCCTCTCAATCTCGACAAATCTTTCACTCACTCCTTCAATCTCGCCCCAAACTTCCCAGTATGTTCTTATTTCCTCTTTATTTTGATGGGTGCATGGGCTTTTTACCACAGCACCTCCCCCTGATCTAAACCCTTCCCTTACCCTCACCACATGGTCGGGGCGAGTGATATCTATCACGAACAACAGACAACCAATCGAGTTATTCTAAGCTGTCAGTAATGTTCAAGACGAACACGCAAAGAGCCAACACGCATTATCCTCCCTAATATGTGCCATCAGAATCACTTTGGCTGGCGAACTGACTACAAAGCGAAGTTAATAGACGAAGAATTACGGGGCGACTTGTTCTTTAGGTGCTCCGAACTTAGCCTACTTGCGATCTAAGTGTTCCCGCTCTCTAAAGCAGGATCTGCCATCCCCAGGTGGAGCTAACAGCTTCAGTGTGCCTAGGAAGACGTCGGGGAGGAACGGTGTCGGGAAATATGTTGGCGACGGGCTTAAATACAAATTTACGAGACGAGATGCTTCTTTTAGTGAAATACATTTCAGTTTGGATGATGGTAGTTTTCCGAGTCGATACTCACTGGGTTTCAATGAGGCGATGTTATCTTTAGGGTTGTCAAAATGGAGTAAATGATGATGTTACGTTAATGGGCAAATTGACGCCATTTTTGTTTTATTTTATTTTTTTTTTCTCAATAAGAGTTCTTTGGTTTTTCGCTCATAATATAAGAATTTAGTGGAATGGTTCTGATTTAAGTTACAACATTCTTTGTTTTCGACGTTGACTTGAGAACCGATTGTGAAGAAATCAACTTCAAGTTTATATATTTTCAAGTTTCTAATAATAATAATAATTTAAGATAATATCTATTCAATCATCTAAGTGGCAGTGAATGCTGAACAATTTTGTCATAGATGAAAAAGAGACTTGATGAAACAGGGACGATGTTCAACAGAAGATTACTGAGAATACCATGGACTGTACATGTGAATAATTGGGAAATTTTAAAGAATAGGGAAACAAAAAGAACGCTAAGAATCAGAAAGAGACAGTTGATATTTTTAGGACACATAATAGGAAAAGTGGGCTTGGAGAATTTGACACTCACATGACATATTAAAGGCGACAGAGGTCTGGCAACTCGACTTCAGCCACTCTTTCAGTGACGTGACAAGTAGTTTCATGGCAATTCTTTTAATTACCTTTCTTCTCTGTTGCTTTGACTGCATGAATTTAAACGTGCTACTAGAATGACAACTAGGTTACATTATTTTACTGTTGAACTAGCTAAAGGCAACCGTATGTTCTATTCCAATAGTTATTTTTCTCGTTTGTGGAACTATCTTCGTATTTTTTGCTTCCCTGTCACTTACAATCCTCAAAAATTTAAATGCAACGCCATCATTTTCTTCATGAAACCTGTTCTTTTAATGTCTTTTCTCTTCATTAAAGTTTTCTCAATCTCTTTCATTTTCCGTTAACTCTTGCATCCTAGTGGCATTATCGCCTTGCATGGGGTGAAATTAGTTTTAATCAAAGCAGAAAGTAACCTACCTGACGACTTTGTGTAAATGGATGACAGAAGAAGGACATTGATGGATGGATGGCGAAAAGACAAAACTTACTAAGGTTTTCAAAATGTAGGAAGTTGTGGAGAGGCATGATAACCCATGTTCTGAAGTTCCACAACATACAGACGAAGAAGAAGCCTATCCAGTGTCAACATATATCTGTGTGTATGTGTGTGTATCTTTGTAAGCGTTTTGTTTTTCCTAACCCTAAAGTTTTTGATCACACATTTTGACCATAATACACACATATTATTTTGAAAAATCTAGCACCAAATATTGACACCCACCACAACAGATATTCATAAATTCAGATGCAGGGGGTTTAGAAGATCAAAACATACATAACAATAAAAAAGGTAAAAAATTAAGACAACTATTATAAGTTTAAATACCTCAAGTGTCATAAAATTATGTATAAAAGAATTTAACAAGACCATACATATCTTGTTATTACGATTAACCTCTTAGAACAAAATATAAATTGCGCGCAATAAAAGAAGAAATATTGTATAATGGTTGTCTCCCAAAAAGACTTGACCGTACTGAGAATCAGCATTATTTTTTACGATGGTATAAAAGTTAACACTTGGTTCTTGCTGGAAATACGTAATTGACCTAGATAGTTTACAGATGGAAAACTTGTCATTAGTAAATAACATTTTTTTTTTACCAAGGTTCTATGGTTAAAACTTGGTGCTAGCTGTAAATACGTAATCGATATCGACTGGTTCACACTTAGAAAGCATGGCATAATAGCTAAGTAACATTTTTTTTTTTTTTACCATGGATCTAAGATCAACTTCTGGTGCTAGCGATATATACGTAATTGACCTACCACTCAGACTTGTTCACATTTGGAAAGCATGTCCTAATAGCTAAGTAACATATTTTAAGGAATATGATTCTTCTAAACAAATTAAACTTTACTAAAAAAAAAAAAAAAAAAAACTGATAAGCAGATATGAAACCTGCGGAACTCCTAGTCGAAAATATAATTTGAACATTCAATTTTACTTTTGGTTATTAACGATGGTGAAATGACTGGCTAGTATCATTCAATGCATCTAAAATTAAACGTAACAATTCATCACCACCGTGCAGATCCCAAACCTACACCAATTCTGATTAGTAGTTATACCCCAAAGAGGCTTTTTGGTTCTAACATCTAATGAGCTTAATGTTCAATCCCGACTTAAAATGGAACGAGTATATTCGTCACATCGCAAAAAGCTGCTAGATGTATTACCGGTTTCTATCTTTAGAAAAGAGCAAGATCAGACCAATATCCCCCACCCCGGACAAGGCCTCTGATCGGGAGATTTTGAGGAGCAGGAACTACCACTTAATTGCTGTTGTTCCTAGGTCCACCCTGACTCAGCTATGGGCAAATAGTTAACCCCAACTCTGAGTTCAAAATACTATGAAAGTATAAAAATAGATTTTTTATAGTAAAAATATTAGCAGCAATACATTTTTGACAAAGAAAAAAAATATTTCCAGCATTACATTTGGCTCTCGACAAAAACCCTCTTTACAAAATTCCACCAATGAAACCTGATCCCCTACAAACTGATTTCTTACAAATAATACATATTCTATTCATAAGAATCTATTCTAAAATCGTGTTCGCATTAAATAACCCAATGAGGTTTTGATATGTCGTAAAACAAATGAAATAAAACCAAACCATCAGACCGAGAATGGAGTACTGCTGCTATATCTGGGCTGGTACTGCTTCGACAAAGTTCAAAAAGGCTTACGCGGCATTGTGGCTGATAGATTATTCTCCACTCTGCGATCGTCATCCTCACTGCACTATCGTTATTATTATAGCACATGTTGGAACGAGTTACATTCTTTGGTTTCACCAAGTCGAACCTTTACAGCTGCGATCCACCATGCTTTCCTTGCAGTGGCTTACTATACACATCCCCTTCGTGTTCTTTTGATATAGAGGAAGTTACATTCAAAGAGTTTCATTCCCAGAACTCTTGCTTTGCATCACAGACTCCCGGGAGGATGCTTCCCTGACAACTTCAATTTTGCTCTCTTTAAGTCCAGGGTCAATCAATATCTATCCTACACGTCCTTATAATATGCGTTTATGAAAGTCTAGTTCTTAGTACTAGACAAGATATCAGTAGATATGGGCAGTGGAACTAGAATAATCTACCCCCGTAGATTAAATAATGGATTCAATTAGGAATTCCCTGTCGGCTACCCGGATTGACATGCACATTACAAAAGCCGAAAGACAAAGACGCTGTGATAACACCAACAAAGATTAGGACAATAGTCCGAATATAATTACTATAAATACAGAGAGAAGTTTGCATGTAAATATACATATATGCGAACTTTTTTTAACCTCTCTCGGTATTTATAAGAATTATATTCGGACTATTGATAACTGCTTATCCCAGAAATTCAGGGAGAAACGTTGTTTTTTTTTTGTTTTTGTTTTTTTTTCAACAATGTAAGTTGATAATAAATTAACGTAGAAGAGTATACTGTTAGCATGATACATTCGTCATTACAATTGGTTCCCGTAAACGGAACTTACTTATGACTCAAGCTAATAATAATAATAATAATAAGCTCTCTCTCTCTCTCTCTCTCTCTTTTCTTTTTAATCTTTATCTTAGTATTCAGCTTTTAATTTTATTTTTTGCACACTCGTTTACCTTTCCTTACCTTGGGTTCCGCTATTACAGAATCATCTAACCAGTTCTCTGCGAGTGAAATACACCATATTCTGGTGTATTTTCGCGAAACCTGCAGATTTAGAACTCATTAACTCAGCCCAATTCCTCGCTCTTGGAAAATCTAAGAGACTTACTGCATGTAACCATTTTGTGGCAGTGAGGCTTGTCTTTTTATGTTTGTTTTTTTTTTATTTCTATTTGCTTCACTTCTTTCCCTCTCCCGCCTCCTATTCCTCGTCCCCGTAGCACATTATTTCAAAGTGCATAACGTGAAACGATATTGTCTTATTTTCCAAGTGATGAGCAAGATCTTCACCTGCCGTAGTGCCAAGAAGGCAATAATGAAGGCGACTTTAATGCAGTATTTGGGCTTTCTCTATTCTCGAACTGATTTTTAGATTTTGGAGTTTAATCACATAAGAATGTCGTGTGCGTATTCCAGTGTTACTCGGTACAATTCCTACTGAGATTTTTCTCTCTCGTTGATTATAGGATGACTCCCAGTCTCTCTATCTCTAATGTGTCATTACTGAGTCCATTAGCATGTTTTAAACAAATATTTTACAAACACACACACACACACACACACATATATATATATATATATATATATATATATATATATATATATATATATATATATATATATATGTCTGTGTGTGCATATGTATACACAAACAAACATATATATAGATGTGCATGTGTGAGTGTGTGAGTATTTATAACGGTGTGTGTTTCGTAATTTATCGGTGAGTGCGTTGGCTTTCTCTGCAGATT